TTTTTTCAACATTTTCATGTGTTCGGGCCATTGCAAAAACGACGATCACACAAAACAGTTGTCACTATAAACTCTGCCGAAACTAGTCCTTACCTTCTGAAGCAACGGTAGTCGGCTTATCGACTCAGGAATGTTAGCTCTATGCGCTCATAGCGGCAAAACGCGGTACTACAAAAGCTCTGCCCACAAAAAAATTAGTTCGGTTTCTTTTAGGTACCCCATCGTACATGCAACTGCCATGAAGTTGCAAGAATTTGTCTAATTTATAATTATTTATTATTCCATAAGGTTGCCTACACAAGGTATGACACAGCCTCAAAGCTGTAATAAACAAATGATACTAATATCTTCCATTCAAGACTTTCTTTAGTTCAGATCCACTGCTCATAAAAGAAACCTTAAACAGAGGTCACATGGTATTCATAGAATTAATTTGTGGTGCAGAGCAATGTAGGATATTACATAATGGAGAATTCAGTGATGTTACAAGTCACCCAGTACTGTTAGGATAGTAAATGGTGGCTATGATGGATGGGTTGGACATGTGGCTAGAATGGGAGATGACCAGGTGGGGACACCTCTTGCAAATTGAGTGGGAGAATAACATTAAGCTGGCAGGACAGAACCAGCAATCAGCAGTGTATTCACTAAGATTATCTCTCAGCTGGTATGCATGATAAATCTCACACTGACAACTGACTGCTATCTCTGAGGGCATGTCATACCTTGAGCAGGCACCCTCAGAGGGGGGGGGGGGAAGCTGTGTGCGTTCAACAAGCTCTAAGTATGACAATTATGGTTCCCATCGTATGTTGAAAAGAGAGTCTAGCAATTTTTGGATGATGTAACAATCTCCATCACAAATTTGGCGATGGAATGCCCTCAAAGATATTTTAGACACAGTTTATGGAAACAATATTCGGTCAGTTAGTTTTATTTTCCAGTTTGAATAATAAACTCGAAGAGTGGGATCTTCAGGCCTGTAAGGCTGCACAGTTCAGGAGAAGTCCACAAAAATTCATCCAGAACGCTGAAGGGCTGCCACCAAACTACATGGCATTACAACTCATAAAATCACATTGTGTGTAGTGACTGCTGTTAAAACCTCAAATCTTACACAATTTTAAAATTATTATTTTGTCTTTCTTTTATTTTTTATACAGTCATAACTCTACACAGCTGTGTCTTGGGAAGTTTACTGTTAACTGTAACTTAAGAAAAGGTCACTTCAAATATGCACATGACATAATATACCTTGGCTTGTTTCAAGAGGTCTTCTTCCAGTTTATCAAAAATTTCAGCATCACTGCCAGGAACACAATCATCAACAGTAATAAAGTCAAAGTCAGATTCGAGGACTACCTTCGTGTCTGGAGGTACTGGCACCTGTGAACACGATAACATTAATTCACATTTAATTCATGCCACATATTTCTTACAGTCACCATACTGAGATATTATATTCATTTGTCTGCATTTTATTTTATGACACTACCAACAGTTCAAATTATACAGCGTTGAACGATAACAATAAATCAATTAATTATGATACAGTCAGGATGTGGATGGAAGTTGTCGTGGATTAACTGCATGAACGATCCTAGCATTTGCTGGAGGGACAGAGGAAAACCATGAAAAAGTCAGTCAAGACAGTCAGGCTCTAGGCAAAGATCTGAACCCATGACTTCCTGAATATGAAGCAGGAGTGTTTACTGTTCGGCCAATGTTCAGTGACAATACATTCAATTCAGGAATATTAAAGATACCAAACTTCCTGCAAAATAATACAATAAAAGAATCCAAAACATGTAAAATCTGATGTGAGCATTTCAGCTTCAGACAATGCAAACATAAGTCAAAGTTCAAGTTTTGAGATTTTCATGGCAGCAGTTGTTCAGACTGTGATCTTCTGGAATCTGACACAATGCAGTCTTGTAGGCAGATACTCACGTTCTGGGAGTGGACATGCTACCTCCATTTTCAAGATAGATGCATGTAAGGTGAACTGGTTGTTTCATACAGTCAGATCATGACTCCACCAAGAGCCATTGTCCTGGTCATCATTCCTGTCTGCCTGGATTGGGCTCTATTTCATTTTCCCTTCCGTGGCCACTTTTCTTGCAATCTGTTCATATAACAGAGCTAATTCATTGTGCCACACTCAAGGACAATAGATCACTGTAGGTCGCGGGGCAAGGGCTGAGAAGACCCATTCATTCATTGTGCCACACTCCAACCCTGATGACTGATGCATGATGTTCTGCAAAAATGTATCTGCCTACAAGGCTACATGGTGTCACGAGAGAGAAGACCACATTCTGAATACGTCAAAGTTGCTACTTTCTTAGCGTTGATTAGTTACATTCTCACATGCAACACTATGTCTTATAAAATGTATTAGCTTCAAAAGTTTAAAAGTCCATCGCTACATGTTACGACCAATGTTATCATCATCAGGCATTAAAATCTTCGGTGAGGCAACTGCTGTCTTCTTTTGTTAAATATAGGCCCTCTCGCTGTGCATGTGTGTTCTCTCAATGTGTGTTGTGCTGCGTCATGCAGTAGCAAGACACGCAGCAAAAAACACAGCGAGAACACAACCCACCAACCCAAACACATGTGCACATCGAGAAGACCTATATACAGGGTGTCCCAGGAGGAATGTGCCAAACTTCGGGAGGGTGTTCCTTATGTTAAAGTATGCCGATATAACCCAAAACACCTATGTCCAAAGTTGAACGGTTACGGAGATAATGGCCCGAGAAAAGTGTGGTCTTCTAGCGGGTCCACGGATTATACCTATCAGCTGAGAGGAATTATCTCTGTTTGTCCTTGACTGCCGTGATTCATCCTATCCGTGCTTATGGAGTTGGCTTTATCAGAACGCGCAGTCAGCACGTTACGTCATCGCTTACCATTCATGTGTCATGTACAGTGCTTGGAACTCTTAACGACAACTTTGAGATGGCATGCGAGTTTTTTGTACTTCAATTTTATGGCTTCATGTCACTCACAAGTTAGTTTGATGTTACGTACATTATTAACGTTACAGAATCCACATATTCCTGCCAGTTTTAATATCTATTTTGTAATCAACAAGTGTGTAACCCCGGTCAAAGTTTGACACTTCTCTGGCCATTATCTCCGTAACCGTTCAACTTTGGACATAGGTGTTTTGGGTTATATCGGCATACTTTAACATAAGGAACACCCTCCCGAAGTTTGGCACATTCCTCCTGGGACACCCTGTATATTTAACAACAGAAGACAGCGGTTTCCTCACCAAAGATTTTAACACCTGATGATGACCACGTTGGTCAAAACATGTAGTGATGGACTTTTAAAGTTTTAAAGTGATACATTTTTATAACACATAGTGTTGCATGTCAGACTGTAACTAATTGATACTAAGTGAAAAATGCAACAGGATGCTACAATATAATATTGTTGTTTTCTTACGTGTGATCAGAAGTACTTAAAACCAACATTAATTGCAAATGTCAATATCTGTGATAAATGTAATCCAGTGATTCAACTCAATTTTATTTATTTCTGTGCTTACTCAACAGCCTAAAGGCCAATTATAAGGTAAGAATGAGCAAAGACGGAAACAAACACATACACCCAAAGACAAAAGACAACTTGTATCATTTAAATAATAATACAAATTCAGTAAGTATAACTGTGGCAGCCATTATGCTGTGACAAAAAATAACAGTAATAACAATAATGGATAGGTGTGATCCATAGCAGAGTATAAATAGTTTCCATACATGAAGATTTCTGTTTTCTGGGATATAACCCTCTGTAGTCCACTGAAAGTGAAGTGACGTTTCAGAGGAACATGCTGCCTTCATCTTCAGGGTTGAACAGTATGGCAAGCAAGAAACCAATGTGTACCCCCTCCATACTGGCTTATTCTTCGAGCCTGAAGTTGGAGGTGGCATTTTCCTTTGAAAAGTCCATTGACTTGCAACAGAAATACTATACTCTAGTGCAGGGGTTTCCAAACTTTTCGAACCGCGGGCCACATTAGGTAATTCAGCACTTTCAACGGTCCGGATAAAATGAGAAAATAATAACTCTAGGTATATGAGTTTTATTGAAATCACAGAATTTCATAAACTAAATACAAAGTATGTGAGAATAAATTATCGTATATTAATGACAACAGACAGTAGCAGCAAATGCTCATATTGTCATCACAAATTATAATAAAAAAATTAAAGTGAATGATGGAACTCTTTTTGCATTCTTAAAATCTGATTAAATTTAGGTTCAAGTTTTGAAACGCTAATCACAAGTAGCGACTTTAAACGTTCATTGGATAAATTTGCCCTGTATTTCGACTTGATGTACTTCATCTGGGAAAGTTTGTTCACACAGATATGTCGTCCCAAAAATGGAGATAAATTTACAAGCAAATTTCTTTAAATTTGGAAATTGCTCAGAGTTCAGAAATTTATAAAATCTGATCAAATTTCCTTCCTTGTATTTGTCTTTAATATGATAATTTTCCTGAAGTTCAATACTTTCCATTTGAATTTGACTTGGGACATCTGCAGCATCACAGTCAAACAGATTTTGAAACAATTTAATTTCCTGAGCACTGGAATCCAAATCAGCAAATCGCTTCCGAAATTGTTCTTTCAAATCTGAAATGACTAAATTTGCAAATGAGGAAGGAAATTCTGCTTCACCCTTTTTATGCAACTCTGCACAGAATAGCATATGAACAAAGTTACAATTTTTCACTTGGCTTTCCAGAAGTATCAACTTTGCTCTGAATGCCTTGATAAGTTCAAATAAATCACAGACTAAGTTTATTTTCACCCTGCAACTTTAAATTCAAATTGTTCATATGGTTCACCAGATCAGCAAAAAATGCTAATTTCCAAAGCCACTCGGTATCTGATAAAAGTGGTTTGTGATGGTTTATCTCGGTAAGAAATATATCAATTTCATTCCTGAGCTGAAAGAAGCGCGAAAGAACCTTTCCACAGCTAAGCCATTGAACTGCAGTATAATATGTCAGGTCAGTAAGCTCGGAATCACATTCCTCGAGAAAAGACCGAAACTGGCGATGGTTAAGCGCATGACAGCGAATGAAATTAATGATAGAAATAACAGGTTTTAAAACAGAACTCATATAAACGTGTTTTGCACAGAGTGCTTGTTGGTGGAAAACACAGTGAAGAAACATTGGCTTTGATATTCCTGCATCCTCACAAGCTTTTGTGATTTGGCCAACCAAACATATTTTTATACCAGACATGTTTTTTTTTCCATCAACTGTCACGCACTGCAGACGGTTCCAGTCCAAATTATATTCTGTTAGTGTTTTTTCTATTTCTTTGAAGATATCATCTCCTGTTGTAGTACCATGCATGCTGTGAAGTGATGCTAATTCCTGTGTGACATTAAGTTCATCGTCGACGCCACGAAGAAATACTAATAGTTGAGAGGTATTACAAACATCAGTTGAAATCTATGAATAAGTATTTTTTTACCAGTACTCACTGGAAAATTAGTTCAATTGGTGCATTCCTGCAAAATTCTTTCGCGGGCCAGATAAAATCACATCGAGGGCCAGATGTGGCCCGCGGGCCATAGTCTGGAGACCCTTGATCTAGACAATCAGCTCAAAGATGGTGGTATGGTTGTCAGCCTTATGTGCAGGCTGCCCTTTAGCCCCAGGAAGATTTCTGGTACTCATTTCTGTGAGAGGCTGAGTGGACCTATGGCTATAGTGCGGCTTGAAGGATCAAGTTGGGGGGGGGGAACCTAGCAGGAATCAAACCCGCTTGTAGCACAGTGACTCAACCAACTACGCTACCGTGTGTCCCCATGCACTGCCAAAAAAGTGACAATATTGATTTTGCAGTGGGTGGTGAATCAGAAATGAAGCCATGAAACAGAGACAGGAGAGAGATATTATCTAATAGGGAATGACCAGGTACTTAATGAAAATAGATGATTAAAAATCTTCTGGTCAATAGGTAGACCACGAAAGAGACGATGAAAATTATTTCAGCAACCATGTGGTCACAAGATTTATATAAGAGCTGTGGAACCAGCCCCCCCAGTCCATTAACCCTGAAGATGGTAAGAGCAATGTTTGCTGAAACACTAAATCACTTTCAAATTCTACACAGGTTATCTCCAAAAGCCATCATCATTAGGTAAGCTCCAACTGTGGAAACCTTGGGATATGAATCAACAAATATTTTATTACCATAAAATTCCATAAACATACATACAGAATTACAAACAACTGCAAGTACTCAACATTTTTTGAAGTAAAATATAAATATCTTAGCCAAAATTCATGTCAATGGCAGCAACAGAGCAAAATAAAAACAGATGGAAACAGTATATCAGTTACACCACACAGAAAAAAATTTTGAATACCACTTACCGTATCCATGTCTACTGGCAAACCACTATGCGATGCCTCAATAAGTGGATCAAATCCTTTGGCAAGCCGTAAATATTCCTTAGCCTGATTTATTTCACCTTTACGTTTAGCTTGCAATGCAGCATCTCTGAATTCTTTCTGACGAGCCACAAGAAAAGCCAACTGCTTTTCCTGTCTAGACTGTGGAGTCTTGCGGACTACATAAAAAGAATATGAGCAGTTTGTGAAACACACATTTCATGCCAAATGCACTTTATCCATGTCTTACAGCGTTTGAAATAAATAATGAATCAACTGACTCAAAAAAGAATTTCCATGCAGCATCATTACATAACTCATGAGCCACTGCAATGATTTTGCCATTTCTTCTCTTCCCACCTGTTTTACACTTCCTGAGAAGCTGCCAGTTATGCAGCTACTCAAGAACCTCCCAGCATTTTATGAAACCCAAAGATTCATAAACGTGTTCACATGAGCCCTCCACTGGTCCCTATCCTGAGCCAGATCAATCCAGTCCATACCACCCCATCTTACCTCTATAAGATCCATTTTAACATTATCCAGCCACATATATTTTGGTCTTCCTAGTTGTTTTTCTTTCTAGCTTTCCCAATATCCTATATGCATAGCATTCATGCTATATGCCCTGCCCATCTCATCCTTCGGGACTTGATCATTCAATTATACTTAGCAAATAGTACAAGTTATGAAGCTCCACATTATGCAGTTTTGTACAACCTCCTGCTCTTTCATCTCCCTTTGGTCCAAATATTCTCCTTGGTACAATGTTCTCAAACACCCTCATTCTAAGCTCCTCCTGTTTTACAATGCTGATAAGGAGTAAGAGAGCATCAAAACTTAGCATTCACGAATTAAAACTTCAGAGGCAATAAAACAACAAATACACCACAACTGACATGCTATGCAGAACTAACACCAGGGAGCTGAGTCCTGCTCAGCCACTATGGAAATTCCAAGAATTCTGTCATGTTCACAACAGCCTGCCAATGGTCTCTATACTGTGCCCAATGAATCAAGTTTGCACCCTCCCATCCTGTTTATCTAAGATCCATTTTAATAATATCCTCCCATCTACATCTGTCTTCCTAGTGATCTCCTATGAAACCTATGTACACATATCTCTTCTCTCATTCATGCCACATGCCCTGCTTATCTCATTCTTGTTCTAATATTTTGCAGAAGTACATTATGAAATAGGAGCTCGGACAGCGACTGGCTACAGGCTGGATGACCAAGGGGTTGCAGTTTGGGTTCCAGTAGAGTCAAGAATTTTCTCTTCTCCACATCATCCAAACAGGCTCTGGGGCCCATCCAGCCTCCTCTATCCAATGGGTACCGCTGGCTATTTCCCTGGGGGTAAAGTGGCCAGGGTGTGAAGCTGACCACTCACCTCAATCTAGTGCTGAGGTCAAGGAAACATGGATCTATATATCCACTCCCATATGTCTTCATGTCATAGTGCTCAATCAATTATGCACAGTGACAACCTTACATTATGAAACTCCCCATTATGCAATTTCCCCCAAACTTAGGCCCAAATATTCTGAATACTGTCAGTCTGTGTTGCTTCCTTAATGTGTCAGACCAAGTTTCACACCCATACAGTACCATGATCAAAATTATACTGGAGCTGAGGTTCTCACAGTGGTGATTATGAAGAGTTTTATCTTCTGGGATAAAATGGTGTTATATTTACACATATTTTGATTTTTATGTTTTTTAGAAAACAGGCGAGAGGACAAAATATTCTAAACTGAATGGTATCAAGCACTTACTTACTTACTCACTCAATCTTGGAGCTGAGCCTTCTGGAGGAGCCGCCAATTCTGCAGCTACTCAAGAAATTCCCAACATTGTATGGAACGTGAAGGTTCATTACTGTGTTCACAAGAGCCCTCCACTGGTCCCTATCCTGAGCCAGATCAAGCCAATCCATAACATCCCATCCTGTCTCTCTAAGATCCATTTTAACATTGTCCACCCACCTATGCCTTCCTATGTCATCTCAGCGGTCTCTTTCCTTCTGGCTTTTCCACCAATATCATATACGCATTCCTCGTCTCCATTTGTGCTACATGCCCTGCCCACCTCATCCTCCTTGACTTGATCATTCTAATTACACGTGGAGAAGAGTACAAGTTATGAAGCTCCTCACTGTGCAGTTCTCTCCAACTTCCTGTCACTTCATCTCTCTTCAGTCCAAATATTCTCAACACCCTCAGTCCATGTTCCTCCATTAATGTCACACCCATACAGAACCACAGGCAAAATTATAGTTTTGTATATTCTAGTTATTATGTTTTTGGACAGCAGACAGGAAGACAAAAGGTTCTGGACTGAATGGTAGCAAGGATTACCTGAGTTCAATCTCCTCTTAATTTCCTCCTGAATCAGGTTTTGATCTGTTATCGTTGTTCCCAAATATCTGAACTGTGCCACATTTTCAAAACATCTCTGTTTCCTATCTTTATGTCATGATTTTGCCCCGCATTTTGGTGATGAGACAGCAATATATACTTAGTTTTCTCTGTGTTTAATTCTAGACCAACATCTTTATTTGCGTCAGTTAAAGTTTGTATGTTTTTCTTTATGTCATCTGCATTATCACCCAGTAGATTCACATTGTCAGCATAGGCCAACAGCTGATGTGTCCCATTTAATTTCAGTCCCACCTGGTTTCCCTGGACCTTCCTAATGGCATATTCTAAAGCAAAGCTGAAAAGGAGTGGCGATAGAGCATCTCTTTGTTTTAGACCATTCTGGATAGGAAATTTTTCAGACAAATGTTTACCTATACGGACTTTACTATACGTTTCGTTTAAACACATTTTAATCAACCTAACTAGTTTCATGGGTATCCCAAACTCTATCAGAATATTGTACAATGCTTCCCTCCTAACTGAATTATAGGCTTTCTTGAAGTTAAGCACTACCCAAATTGAATCTACTCTTTAATTTCTTCCTGAATGTGATTTCAATGGGTTAGCATCATTATGAAACATCTGAACTCTGTTAGATTTTCACAGGCTCTATTAGCTATTTTTTTTTATTCCATTGTAAAATTCTGTTGATCCAATCTAGGCTACAAAAATGCCTGACGGATATAGAACCAGTCACAGACAAGTAACTAAAATACAGATGTTATGAAAATAAGCATAGGTCAGGTCAAACAATAAACCAAACTGTTTATCTTCCTACTTTAACATTAAACATAACAACATCTTAAATTTAATGTAAAAATCATCATACTAAAAGGTAGATAACATATTTATGCCAAAATAAAGCACCTATGATATATAAAACCTTAAAAATTCACATTAAAATTAAAAAATCCTTCAGTGACTAAAACGAATTCAGTAGAATGTAGTTTTTTAGAGTATATTTAAATTTATTCTTATTATCAGACAATTTTTTTATGCAAGGAGGTAAGTGATTGAATGCCTTTCTACCTATATAATAAACACCATTTTTATAAATTTGATTTGTTTCACTCTGGTCTGTCACACTAACAATTACAAAGACAAAAATAACACCGTCCAGTGTGACTATTTAAGTTTTATCACTTGAAAACTCATCACCCTTGCATTTTTCGATCCCTACGGATCATCCTCAGAGGGCATCAACACTTTTTTCAGAAACTATTACAATAGTAGTTTCCAGAATAAAACAAATCAAATTCATCGAAGCTAGTCAAGCTAAACTGGTAAATCAATACATCAATATGAAAAGGAAACTACTACGAACCATTGTACATATATGGTTCAATCGAATGTGTCAAAACAAAAACATCATACCTAAGTATGCCAACCTTAACTTAAAAGGGACAAGTAAAGCTATTTTAATACCAGGAAGGCTGCTGTGACTGTGAAAAGTTGAACATTGTGTACATTGTGTATTTCTGACATTATATGTGTATGTATACAATTTAACACCTATTGTAACAGTAGTTTCCGAAAAAAGTATTGATGCCCTCTGAGGATGATCCATAGGGATCGAAATATGTAAGGGTGATGAGTTTTCAAATGATAAAACTTAAATAGTCACACTGGACAGTGTTATTTTTGTCTTTGTACCATTTTTATAGATAGACAACCTTCGTTGTGAAGGGTAAAAATTATTTTTACCTCTGGTGTTGATATCATATAACTCTGAATTTGTTTTAAATAAGGAGATATTATCAATTACAAAATTAGTAATGAAAATATATACTGATAATAAAACTGTAATATATCTCAGGAATCCCTATTCTGGAATTTGTAATTCTTATGGCCTTTTTTTGTAGTTTAGATATATTGATACTATAAGGGGAATTCCCCAGAAGATTAAACCATATGACATAACTGCATGAAATTAAAAACAGTAAATCATCCTTAGTGATTCATGGGACACAAAGGGTCTTAAAGATCTAATAGCATAATATGCTTTGCTTAATTTAACCATAAGTCCATCAATATGATGCTACCATGACAAGGAGCTATCAACAGTAATACCTAAAAACCGAGTATTTGTATTGTTAATAATATATTTGTGTTTGAGAACAGGGTGTTGAGGAGAATATTTGGATCGAAGAGGGATGAAGTACAGGAGGTTGGAGAAAACTGCATAATGAGGAGCTTCACAACTTGTACTCTTCTCCAAGTATAATTAGAATGATCAAGTCAAGGAGGATGAAGTGGGCAGGTCATGTAGCACGAACGGGGGAGACGAGGAATGCGTATAGGATATTGGTGGGAAAGCCAGAAGGAAAGAGACCACAGGGAAGACCAAAGCGTAGGGTGGACAATATTAGAATGGATCTTAGAGAGATAGGATGGGATGGTATGGATTGGATAAATCTGGCTCAGGACAGGGACCAGTGGAGGGCTCTTGTGAACATGGTGATGAACCTTCGGGTTCCATAAAATGCTGGGAAATTCTTGACTAGCTGCAGAATTGGCGGCTCCTCCAGAAGGGCTCAGTTCCATGAGTGAGTAAGTAAGTAAGTAATAATATATTTATTTACTATAACTTATATATAATTGAAATGTTTGACTATTAGTGGTTCTAAATTGTATATACTGTTTTGTTATAATTTAATGACAACAAATTGATACTGAACCATTCATTCAACTGTTTGAAAGAGGAAATAATATCTTTTTTAAATTTTACTAACTTACAATTACTAACAATAATGCTTGTATCATCAGCAAACATGATTGGCTTAGAGTTATAATTAACTACTTTAGGCAGGTCATTTATGTAGAAAAGGAAAAGCATTGCTCCATGTATAGATCCCTGGGGCACTCTATGTTTAATCTTCCCCCATTCTGAAGAAGTATAAAAATGTGTTAATTTTTCATCAATGAGGACTCGCTGATACAGGGTCCGGCAAATTGACCTCCCGTATTTGGAGAGGGCACTGTGTGAGTTGTGGTGGGGATACGGCGGCGGAGGGGATATCAATCGATAGCGGTATAAGTGCCATTTGCAGTAGTCGCAATGGCGTGGCACGGTGAGCATCGTGCGTTTGTTATGGAAGAGTATATTTGTAATGGTGAATTGGTGATTACTACTCAGCGAGCATTTCGCATTCGGTTCGAACTTGGCTGACATGATCCTGTTCCGGATAGAAAAACTATTCACGTTTGGGTATCAAACTTTAGAGCAACAGGTTCTGCACTGAAAAAGAAATCGCCTGGCCGACCTCGGACCGTAACAACGCCGGAAAATGTGGCGCGTGTGAGAGCGTCCATCCAGCAATCTCCAAAGCGTTCAGCACTTAAACATGCAGCTGCCCTGGGATTGTCTGATAGGAGTGTAAGAAGAATCCTGCACAGAAATCTACACATGCACCCATACAAAATGATGGTTACCCAAGAATTAAGTGAGAGAGATTTTGAAACTCGCAAAGCTGCGTGTGAGGACATTCTTCAGAACATTCCCTCTGGCGCTGTTTTGATTTCATCTGATGAGGCCCACTTCCACTTGTCAGGTACTGTAAATAAACAAAATTTCCGCTACTGGTCAGCAGAAAACCCTCAGGAACTTCACCAACGACCACTTCACAGCCCTCGTGTGACAGTTTGGTGCGCCGTTGCTGAATTTGGTGTGTGGGGTCCTTATTTTTTCGAGGAAAATGGGCTAACAGTAACGGTTACTTCGAATCGCTACTGTCACATGATCGAGACCTTCCTCCGACCTAAGTTAAACCAGTTTGTTGGGGACCATGAAGAGGGACAAGCCTGGTTCCAACAAGACGGAGCCACAGCTCACACTTCGCGGAGTTCTTTAGCAATTCTGAGAGAGTTGTTTCCTGGACGTCTTCTCTCTTTGCGAGGAGACATTGCCTGGCCCCCAAGGTCACCCGATTTATCACCTTGTGATTTTTTTCTTTGGGGACACTTAAAGGCGCAAGTGTACAAACATCGCCCCACAACCCTGCAAGCACTTAAGGAGGCAATCACCCAGGCAGTGGCTGCCATTCCACCGGAAATGACACGAAGAACTATGGACAACTTCCGGGAAAGGCTTCGTCAATGTGTGAACAATGGAGGACGCCATTTACCGGAAATAATTTTTAAAACCAAGTAATGTAAAATAGCATCGTATTTGTTGTTCACAAATAAAAGTACTTTTTTTTTGTCTTTCTTTGTTTGTTTGTAACTGCCTTTCGAAATACGGGAGGTCGATTTGCCGGACCCTGTACCTATCACTGAGATATGATTTGATTAGAGCATATGCATTGCCTACAATTCCATAGAATTTCAGTGTCCTCGTTAATAAGTCATGATTAACGCAATCGAAGGCTTTGTCGAGGTCACAAAAAAATACCTTCATATTACGACGATGTTCCGCTTCTGGCAAGGACATCAACATGTACTTAGTTTCTCTGTGCCTGCTTCCAGACCAACCAACCTGCTAGCATGTAATGGAGCTCTGGTGTTTTTCTTTATGTTATCTCCAAGTAAATTAACATTATCAGCATAGACCACATAGCTGATCTATCTTACCTGGCTTACATCAACTGGTATACTATGCACATGTCCTAAGTTCTTTTCAATTACAACTGGGAGGAATAAGGCTTATGACTGAATGGAAACTCTGTTTTCTTCCTTGGAAACTCAAACCTTTACCAAAATGACAGCATTATTTTATTTAATCTAAATAAACCCTTATTTATATGCAAGTCATCGTGATAGTAAAGACAATTTGGTGATTAAGAAAATAAAATAAAATAAAATTAAAATATTTATTTTACATCATTACTTAAATCATTTTTCTACATAATCCCCACGATGATTCAGGCATTCATCATATTGTGTGATGAGTTCTGTATGCCTGCATCATAGAATTCTGCCACCATTCCATTGAACGAATCTTTAAACGTCTTCTTCACTTCTTTATTGCTAACCATCACTTGCAGCCAGATCAAGACTGTAGGAAGGATGGAAAGAAACATCCCAGGCAAAATCCCTGCTAGGTGCTACGTGCAAAATGATCTTTACTTTCTGGATGACCTTCGTAAGAATATTAAATGTTCTCACCATTTACTTTTTGTGGTGGCGATGAAACAGAGGGAGCAGAAGATGCGGGGTCCTTTCGTCTAGGGGCTGGAGTTGGTGCAGCAGGTGTTACAGTTGGTGCAACAGGGGTTGGAGTTGGTGCAGCAGGTGCTGGAGTTGGTGCAGCAGGTGTCAGAGTTGGTGCAACAGGGGCTGGCGATGGTGCAGCACGGGCCACAGATGATTCAGGCTCCTCAACTGGCTTTGTGTTTGAGGATGCATTTCCACTGTCCTCTACAGGGATGGGACCAAAACCTGAACACCAGAACAACACAAAAGAAATTGAAAATGAACTGTAGATCAGATAACCTTAAAATTTTCATAAGCTGCATCTTGCTTGTCTATAATTTTTCAGAATTTATTAATACACACCCATTGCACAGACTATCTATCTACAACTATATAGTCCTTTGTTGGATCTTGGCCACTTTTTCAGTTTCTTTATCCTATACATAGGCAGCATGACTCCTTGGACGGGGGATCAGTCCAACACAAGGCTGCCACCTATGCACAAAACACAAACACAGAATGCACACAGATGTCCATGCCTTGAGTGGGATTCAAACCCATGATTTGAGCGAGAAAAGACAGTTCAGGCCTTAGACTGCACTGCCACTGTGATCAGCATTGCACAGACTGTATATGTATATATACTGAAAAGATAATTAATAGTTCTGCAATAGACTTATTGATGTAATGTAATCAGCTGGTTACTGAAAACTACATCAGCATCAAGACTATATTACCATAGTGGGCTGCACTCTCTTTCTATACTTGACAACTTTTCTGATATATTCCCTTTTGCCCAGTCCTCAACACAACACACTTCCCGGTCTCCTCTCTGTCAGTGCTATCCCTCTGTTCTGCTTCGTAAATATGTTCTGTAACTGTCTCCGTCTCAAACATCCATGTGCACATGCAAAATTCCCTTTCAGATTTACGTGACTCATTCAGCGTGTGACGTAGTTTTCGTAATTCATGTTGGAGTGCCAAGGATGAGGGAGTCTTTCTTGTACATTGCTGCAAGGGTGCTGGTAAGATAACATGCTGCTGTAGCATGCAACAAGCTATTCAATTTGGCTATAGATCATGTTTGTCAAACTGACGAATGCATAAAGCTTGCAACTGGGCTGAATTGTGCACGAACAATTAGACTAACCCTTTTAGATCTCTTTTTTTCCTTGGAGTGGGGTGAGACTGAGTCCATTTGGTATGTAGGCCACTCTTTGGCCTACTGCACCAGCCCCAGGTGATAAATGATGATGGATGTGGAGCAACTGGTGGGATGAGAATTGGCAGGGGAAACCAAAGTACTCAGAGAAAAAATGCCCCAGTGCTACTTTGTCCACCACAAATTCCATATGACCTGATGAGGGATCAAACCAAGGCCTCTGCAGCAGGAAGCGAACCACTAAACGCCTGAGCTATGGCACGGCCTGGGAATCTGCGGTGTTGACCACGTGACACCCTTTGTCCAAGTTGGCACTAATTTTGCCAACAAGTGGTGGTTGCTTTGTCGGTACAGTTCGCTTGCAGACTAAAAGCACGGAGAATTTTTTATGGTAGGGCCTCAACTTTTTAGCCGCATTTTTGAGTACTATACTACACATTAATTTTAAGCCTTTTGCTACTAAGCAAGTAGACCTGTTGCCTTGTAAGGCTGTTCCTAATTCTACTACGGGCATGATCAAATTAGCAGTGGGGATACGCTTATGAGGGCCTCATTCTTCATCACATTTCTTAACTGATGGTTCTACCAGCAATTAAGCATTAATGACCAATGCTTGTAAATCCGTTTTCTTTCTTATTATGTTACATATTCATTTGTTGGCACACTCTTCAAGTGTATCTACTATGTGCTAAATGGTTTTGTTATTCTAACTACTTTGTTTTCTTTCTTGTTGTCAAACATATTTTGGAGGAAGGTAACTCAGCTATGGGACTCGAGTATGCTTGTACTTGTACACCCAGTCCAACCAGGAAGCGTCAAAACCTACAACTCACTCACAGATCATAAACTGGCGCACTTATTAAGTAACATTTGAGCTAACAACCTCACTTACACATAAATAAATGAACAAACAAATAATTAAGTACACATTTGGTATCCCCTGAAAACAAACTTCACTGCCATATCTGAATCACAAACCAGGACAAATGATTATCTGTATTGAAACAGTCAACTATAATTCCATCAGCCTTTACACCTGACGTACAATCCTTGGACTGATCTGATCAAAGTCTGCCCGTAATATAAATACCTGGAGGAGTGGGTAGTTCATCTACTGGAACTGGTTTTCCTGCACTGTGTAACTTGATGGCAGTCTCATACTGCTTCACGATACGACCGATGCGGCGGGCTTTGCTGGTGTTGCCCTCATCTCGAGCAGCCTGTTCAACGCTGCGGTACTTGCTCAGACGTTGCTCTAATGCCTCCATCACTGTAACTGGGGCTGGGGGTGCAGAATAAATATCCACTTCTGGCTCATTGGATGGTGCTGCTACTGCCGGCTCACTGGATGGTAATGCCAGGATATCTTCAGATGCACTTTGCCTTTCACCGTCTTCCTTCTGCCCAACAGACACTGACGAACATGCCACGGAGTCAGGTGGAGGGGGCGGCATTGCACTCAGATCTACTGGCTGGCCTTCCAGCAGAGCGGCTATTACAGGATCAAATTGCTGTGGTGCACAAACATGTAATTCATGAGTTGCAAGGAGTGGCTAGGCAGACAAGTAACCATAATAAACTAACAAAGTGCGGACAGATTTGTATAGGCCAACACAACACACCGATTCACAGTTTCCTGTTATCTTGGCTTACTGTACAGTAAACCCTCGCTAATCCCGATCAAAATATGAAAAATGCTATTCGCAGCTGAGTATGTGCTTTAAAAGATACATGGCATGTACAACATAGACGAGTCACTTGTCTGTTCAGACAAAACTTGACAGTTTCTTCAAACCTGCATTATTACCAAAAAAACCAAGCACAATTCTGAGTCTTCTATCAATGAATAAATTTACTTATTTTTACAGATTTTATATAAAGGCTCTACTGTGATATTTTTATTTATTTTCATCAGCACTGTTTATATCATTAAATCTGCCATTTATTTGTTCTAAGATTCTTTTTGTCTTTTATGGATACCTATTGCTTCACTGATCAGTCTATCTGGGAGGACAGTAAAATATTCCTACATCAGAGTGTTAAGGTATACTGCAGTGTGCTACTGGTCTGTCAGACACAAAACTGTAAGAGTGATTATGACAAGGAAAGTATGTACAGTAGAACCCTCATTATCTGACCTGTGTTTACCTGACATTCTGTTAGCTCACTTCAGTTTTATGAAAAATAAATGTTAAGCAAAAGTTTCTTTAAATAATGAACTTCAAGATGTTACTCTGAACGTATGATTTCTTCATGTTTAGAACAGTTTCAAAGTTAAAAAAAAGTTTAGTTTTGCACTTCCTTTTTGATACTGTTATCAACTAAATATTTTCATGCTGCTGTTTCATAACACAGCTATGAACCAAGCTGGAGAGAAATAATATAAGTGTCTCTAATGTTATTTGTGTTATCTGACATTTTCTGTTATCCGATGACCACCCTTTGATTCAGTTTACATCAGATAATTTGGGTTTTACTGTCCCTTTAGAATATATAGCTAGATTTTCTTTGGTTTGTTTTACTAAGATGTCACAATTTCATTAACTTTCCACAGTTCACACATCCATGTAACAAGAAAAGTGAAAGAGTGAGTGATAATTATATATTCTACATTTTTTCTCCAAAACTATCAAACACAGGCTAGTGAAATTTTATTTGTGTGGCTCAAGAAATATCAGATGAGGAAAACATTTGTAATTATACCAACATTCACAGCACTGAACTTTGTTCTGATTACACACACGCACGACCGCTCAAAATGCTTTTGTTGGAGCTGAATATTCTTGAGAGTCAGTAAATATTTTCAAAGATATCTTTACTGATATAAGAATTTTTTTCTATAAGGATATAAATTTATAAAACATCCACTGGCATTTTAAGAACAGCTTCGCAGTTTTGACATATTTAACACTTTCCATTGCAACTACAGGCAAAGGTTTTCTACATACATGAATAAGTCTAAACCATGCTGTAGGAGTACAATTTCCTGTAATGTTAATCATACCTTGGCTATGCGGACATACTGGATGGCCAAGTCACTGTTGCCTGCCCTCTTGGTCAGCACTGCAATCTGTTTGTACTGTGCCTGCCGCTCCTTCAGCATGTTAAGTGTCATATTCTCACTAGTTTCTTCTGCAGGAGATGGGGATGTGCTGGTGTTCTGATCATCTGCAACAAGGCCAGGCAAGGGAACTCCCAGTGGAGGACGAGGTGGCACTGGAGGTGACCGGACTGGAACAGGAGGAGGCGGTGCTGGACGTGATGGAGCAGCAAGTTCTTCAGATGGATGTGACGGTGCTGAAGGAGACGGAGAAGGGTGAGGTTCAACAGATTTCTTTCCTGCAGAAGTTAACACAGGAGGAGGTATATCTTCCTCGTTGACTACCTGTCCTGCATGGGCTCTTTTCAGAAGGTCGTCAAGTGTCTTGATACCACGACCAAATCTGAAATGGAAAAGTAATCATGGATGGTTCACAATGTTTAACATCTTGCCAGAAAAAAAAAAAAAGAAGTGGAGACACAAAACAGAACAGGCACAACAGGAGAAAAAAAAATATTACTATATTTACCACTTACAATGAGTTTCAAAGCTATGATACCAATGTATGGAGCCTAACCAATCATCTTTAAATGGACCCCAAGGACTGTTTGCCTGAGGGTAAAGCAGCTGAAGAGAGGAGCTGATCACTCACTTCTATCTAATGCCAAGATTTAAGAATACAATGAGCTATACAACCACTTGTTCCACATGTCCTCATGGTGTGGTTCTTAATGAAGCACAGACAATTTTACGTTCGAAGGATTCTATCTTTGGGATATAATGCCACTGACAAGCAAAGCAAGCAAGAAACCAGCATGAAACAGGCAGCAAGAAAAGCTTGCATGGTTTACTCCTCGACCCTGAAGATGCAGGTGACATGTTCTTCTGAAACATCAATTCACTTTCAATAAACTGCTCAGCGTTATAAACCGGAAGACAGAACTCTTCATAACCACTGGCAGGAGGACCTCAAATCCTAGCTTGCCTTCACCTTTGTGGGGTGGGCAGATGGACACGTACACAGGTGCGCATATGTGTATGATGATTCAAAAACCACTACACTGAATATCCCATTTAATGTTCTCAATTTCAGTTTCCCTTTATCTAAGTTTCAATTTCAACTGTTGCAAATGTTTTGTTGCCTTCATTTAATCTCTATCATTGGTTCAGTATCAAATCCACAGATCTAAAACAGAAAAAAGTAAAGCTGTTCCTGTACTTACTTAATTAAGCACCATGCTGTGAAGACAAATAGGGAAGTGGAGCTATAGAGCCATGTATTTTTAACCCTAGCACTAGACAGAGAGGAGTGGTCACCCTACCCATGGAAAAGGGCTCAAAACAGTTACTGGATAGGAGGCTGTGTGGGCCTCAGAGTCGGTCTGGACGCAGTGCAGAAGACAGTCTCTTCTTGCCCTGCCAGGAACTGCAATCCCAGCGCTGTCCAGCCTGCAGCCCATCACTATGCCAACTGAGCCCTCCCACTTCTTATAAACTGACTCCAAACATACCCTAAATGGGATTTCACTGCATGTGGGGTTAAGCTCCAAGCATTCTCAACAAAGACTGAATATGAGGGTGAAATCTATGTTTCATGTTCTCCAGCCCCAGCGGGAGGTGTCCCAGCACCCAGCAAACAGGAGGAAATGGTATTAAGGAGAGATAAATAACATATTTATGAAAGTATATACAAACTTTGCCGGTCACGGTAGCCGAGCGGTCTAAGGCATGTACTGTCTTCGCTTGCTTGGAAACTGGGATTGTGGGTTCAAATCCCACTCAGGGCATGGATGTTTAGTTTGTGTGTGTGCGTTTTTCTGTGTTTGTGTACAGGTAGAGGCCTTGCGATGAGCTGATCACCCGCCAAAGAAGTCCTACCGAATGTGTAAGATTGAGAAAAATCGAAGTGAACGGAGAAGTTCATGGAGGTAGGCCCAGGCCCACTGGGGCTGTAGTGCCAAGGAAAAAAAAATATACAAACTGAAATTATATTGGAGGTAAGTCTCATTATATGCAGAGGATGTATTTCTGGAATTGTTTACAACAAGNAGAAAAATCGAAGTGAACGGAGAAGTTCATGGAGGTAGGCCCAGGCTCATTGGGGCTGTAGTGTCAAGGAAAAAGAAATATATACAAAATGAAATTATACTGGAGGTAAGTCTCATTATACGCAGAGGATGTATTTCTGAAATTGTTTACAACAAAAAACATACTGAACGAATGCTGAGTAAGGTGGAGTGTTAGGAAATGACAGGATCAAGTCAGGGGAACTGTGCATGCCCCACATGACAGTGGATATGCAGCATATAATGAGGTTCACCTCTATGGCCCTTCCTATAAGACTGAAAATTGTTCTGACTTGTATTAACACATTATCTTGGATTACTGTTTCTTACTCCTTAAGTCAAGCTTTCATTATTATTGCACTCTGGCCTTTAACTTTACTACTTCAATATTCATTTGGAAGGACTGATGCACTCCGTCTATCTAGCATGTCCACTGAGCCCACAAAATACTCATGCCCAGGTTCTTCTATTCTTCTTCACACCAATTCTGAATGCGCTTGCATTATGAAGGCCTGAATTTTCAAGCCTGTTCAAGGAATATACGCTGAACAGATATTAAACCTTTCTCTTGGGTATGATTACGAGTATAACAAGAAAGAGAGCAAAACTTGATACCAGCTAAAATGACAGAACTTCTCCACGTTTTCCTCAGTCCCTCCAGGCAAATGTCAGGACTGCGTAATTAAGCAATGACTACTTCCTTCCAAATCCTTTCCAATACATCAATCATATTTCTACTGACATTACACAGTCTAGAAATTGATGTATAGGTAAAGCTGTCCCTGTGCTTAATTAAGCACTACATCATGAAGACATATGGGGCAGTGGATGTACAGATCCACCCATTCCTGATCTCTGCACTAGTTGGAAGTGAGTGGTCAACTTCAGGACCCAGCCATTTTACCCCTGGTACCCATTGGATTGGAGGCTGGGTGGGCCCCAGACCTGATCTGGAAAATGTGGAAAAACGAAAATTCTTGACCCTACTTGGATTCAAACTCCTACCCCTCAGTCGTCCAGCTTGTAGTGTTGCTTCACGGACCGCACTATCCTGGCGTAGAAACTGATAGTGTAAAGCCCTAATCTTATACAAGCATATTTTCTGGATTCTGTACTCTACGAGACAGTAACCAGCCACCAGATTTCATGGCGTCATAATCCCATAACATCACAATCAAAATCTTCACCAATGTGAAAACTACAACTTTATACGAGCACAGTTTTCTTTCTACCTTCTTGCCCTGGAAGTCTCGCCAGCCATGTTTGCATTGCCCTCTGCCTCCCGGTACATCTTGATTCGCTCTTCAAGCATTGCAACTAAGGACGGTCCTGTATTACAGGTTGCTTGCGGTTCAGCTTTAGGTTTGGGCACAGGATCTTCTTCTTCCTCTTCTTCATCCTCATTTAAGGCACTAAGCTCATTCTGAAACGCAATTAATTTTACATCACACGATTTCTGTTAAGGCTGATGGTCAGAGTAAGAAATGTGTGGATTGCTAGCTAAAATACATAGGACAAATGGGCCGAACATTGCAGACCAAATATAAAGAACATATACATGCAATAAGAAATAACGATGGCAACTCAGAATATTCAAATCATATATTAAATACAGGACATGCATATGGGAGTATAATCAACACTATAAAAAATATAAAAATAGAGAAAAAAGGAAAACATCTAGACATACTAGAGAAAGAAAACATATATATATATAAAATGAGTAAAGATGGATTACACATGAACGACACATACATCAACACCTGTACCCTGATACTGGAGTTAGTGCAAGAGTTAAAACACCAGTGCGTGACATAAACACATTATAAAATAAAGAACAAGTTCAACTGAGCAATCATTCGAGAACACCACATGCAGCACAACAAACAACAGGAGAGAAGACAACCCACCAACACAAGTAAGTACACAAATAAGTAATTACATGACATATAAAAACTCCACATACATAAATTCTAATAGAAGAATTTGCACATGTTACAGACACATATGAGCGTCGAGGGGACTTATACATTAACAATAGAAGACAGCAGTTTCCTTGCCCAATAATTTTAAAACCTGATCATGATCACATTGATCGAAATATGTATTGTGAAACTTTCGAAGTGAATATCTTTTAATAAACTTACGTTAGTGTTGCACATGAGACTATGACAAACAACTTGACATTGAAAGCAAGAGACGTATGTTTTGAGATTTCCAAAGGGTTCATTATTATACATGGAGTTGCAGTCTTCTTGGTTGTGATACTGTGCAGTTTTTTGAGTAGATACCAACGTCTAAGAAAAACATGCTACCTCTCATTTCATGGATGAAGTGTGTAGGTTCAGGTATACATTTGTTTACATAGACAAGGTATAATGAAGGTGGCCATGTGACACAAGGAGAAGGGGTTAAAAAAGAATCAGGTCTGAGCCAACACAAATAACTGGACAAAAAGCAGCCCTTATAAGGGGCATACTAGTCTACTGTCACCAATGGGAAAGTAAACAGCGAAAATCACCATTCATTCTCAATATTCCATTTCCCACCTATGACCGTAAACTTGTGTGTCTCTTATTAAGAGCCACCTTTTGTCCAATTCTTTCCATTTACCTAGAATGAGTATTCTTCTTTGTCCCCACTTCTCGAGTCCCACAACAACCTTCCTTGTAACTTGCCTATTCCTAAACCTACACACTTCAATCCTGAAGATGGAGCCTGCATGTTTCCCCAGATCACACAAAACTGCATGGTATCACAATAAAGAAGACCTGTTGCACAAGTAAGACATGACTGGGTGAAAAAGAACAAGAAATTCTGGAAAGAACTAATCACCTAAGTTCCTTTGATATGACACGGACCACACAGAAAAAGATGGGTCCAACAATTCGTCAATTGTTGCGTGTGTATTTGTTATGATTGGAACATATTTACTGAGCCACTGCTTAACAATGATAAGGAGATACATATACAGACTGACAAGACACAGAGAAGAAGGCCTAACAGAGGAATTGCTGGAGGCAGTGTTTTCTCTGTGACCTGATCCAAAGTTATACAGCGGGGACAACTTTCTTCTCAGGACTGTGGTTAGCAGTCGGTTGCATCATGTAGAAACCCAGAAGCTGAAAGACTTAGAGCCCATTGCCCAGCAATGGCCGTCTCAGTGGCGTTTCTCTGGCTGCACCATTTTCAGATGTCATTTCACATGTCACATATATGTTTATATGGTACTGTAACGGCATCTCTTCTGGCTCCACTATTCCAGCTTTCATGAGTTAGCAGGGATACAAAGGCACACACAAACAACAAATTGATCTCAAATGCCTCCTTTCAATTTTTCAAAATATGTAGGCTACAAACGAGTTCTCAGAGAAATTCATTAAGGCTACTCACCCTTTGCATAGGTTTATAATCATACAGACCTATCAATGGAATTACTGTTATTTCATTTTATTTAAGTGAAGACCTTAGTACTTAACTACAGATTCTGCCTACATTAAACTTGTCAGATATAAGGATCTATTAATGAGGCATATCTACAAAATAAGTTCCATTTGCAAATACTGCCGTTGCAGGACTGCGCCCAATATGGTGCGCATGCGTGCAGAGTTTGTTGGTCTTTTGGAAGGCATGGACATCATCTGCAGATAATCAAACTGTGTTTACACATCGTCCTGTGTGTTTACAATGTTCAAGAAAATCGAGAAGCTCTCCGCATGTGAAATGCAGCCTGTAATCAGTGTCTTGAATGCAAGAAGCATGAAACCGGCTGACATTCTCTGTCAATTTTTGTGAGCTGTATGGAGAACATGCCATGAGTAGATTCAATGGTAAGGAGATGGGTGAGACACTTTAAGGAAGGACGCAAAAATGTGCATGATGATCTATGGAGTGGATGACCATCTGTGATTAATGAAGATCTGGTGGGTGCAGTGGAAGAGAAGATTCAAGAGAACAGACGATTCACCATTTCATCACTTTCCCTGCATTTTCCATCAATTTCATGGTCACTTCTTCATGAATTTGTGTCTGATAAACTTCATTTTCAGAAACTGTGTTCATGATGGGTGCTGAAGCTGCTTGCCAATGAACACAAAATGAAATGGCAGGCCAGTATGTTGACCTTTCTGACACGATACAGTGAGGAAGGCGATGACTTCTTGAGTCGCACAGTCACAGGGGACAAGACATGGGCGTCGTACATATCCCCTGAATCAAAGCAGCAGTCCATGGAATGAAGGCACACATCATCGCCAATAAAGAAAAAATTCAAACAGACCATTTCAACTCACAAGATCATGTTCACAGTATTTTGGGACATAAAAACTGTTCTGCTTGAGGAATGCTTGCCTCAAGGCTCAACAATCAATGCAGGTGTCTACTGTGACATACTTATGAAACTGCACTGTGCAATCCAGAACAAGCAATGTGGCATGCTTAGTTGGGGTGTTGTGATGCTTCATGACAATGCCCACCAACACACTGCCGCCACAATGCAAGATCTCATCGTGACATTTGGCTGCAAACAATTCGATCATCCCCCCTACAGCCCAGGCTTAGTGCAAAGTGATTTTCATGTGATCCTGCATCTGCGAACTTTCCTTGGTGGGCGAAGGTTCCACAATGAGGTCAAAGAAGCCTTTCCCATGTGGTTTGCATTGCAGGCGGCATCATTCTATGATGCAGGGATACAAAAACTGGTACCCCGCTACAACAATTGCATCAACAATGATGGAAACTATGGTGAAAAGTAGCATATAGTATGTACATCAAATGGCAATATAAATGGTTTGGAAATAATTTTTTTTTTCGATAGCCCATCAGAACTTACTTTCTGGATAACCTATGTATAATTTCAGGACTCCAAATTATGTGGTGCTAACATCCTAAGAGCTGCGGGTGAAATTTAAAGTGTCTGTCATTGGTTATTTTGTATCTGAGGGCCAAATGACTCCCCACTTACTGTCATGACTGAAGCAAAGCAAAGAATAACAATAAGAATCTTGCAAAGTTAATTTTTAGAGGAAACCTTTCCTGAAAACAATTCCCCCAGATAACAGCACTACCTTGTGCATACTGTTATTCTGTCAAATTTAGTATCTTAATATAAATGTTGCTGCTTTTCTGAACACTTCATGTTGTTGATATCAAATACTTTCAAACTATCTTTGCTTCTAGCTGGCCGTGCCATAGCTCAAGCACTTAGTCGCTGGCTTCCCACCATGGCAGCCTGGGTTCGATCCCGGGTCTGGTCAAGTGGGATTTATGGTGGACAAAGCGGCGCTGGGGCAGGTTTTCTCCGAGTACTTCAGTTTCCCCTGCCAATCTTCATTCCACCAATTTCTCCACAATCACCCTCACCTATCATGTGGGGCAGGTACAATAGGCCAGAAGTGGCCACAAGGAACTTAGTCCCACACCACTAGCAATAAAAAAATCTTTGCTTTTAACAATTTCCCTTTGAAATTTCAAGGAGGTTGGAAAAACTGCATAATGAGGCGCTTCATAACTTGTACTCTTCTCTAAGTATAGTCAGAATGATCAAGTCAAGGAGAATGAGATCGGCAGGGCATGTAGCATGAATGGGGGAGACGAGAAATACATATAGGATATTGGTGGGAAAGCCAGAAGGAAAGAGACCACTGGAAAGACCAAGACAAAGGTTGGTGGACAATATTAAAATGAATCTTAGAGAGATAGGATGAGATGGAGTGGACTGGACTGATCTGGCTCAGGATGGGGACCACAGGAGGGCTCTTGTGAACATGATAATGAACCTTCAGGTTCCATAAAATGCTGGGAAGTTCTTGAGTAGCTGCACAAGTGGTAGCTTCTCAAGAATGGCTCAGCTCCATGAGTGAGTGATGAGCTTTATACCAGTCTCATATATATACTGTCATTAGACAAGCCAGGCAAATAAGCTGTCCTCACCAAGAGGCTGCATTTGTGATTCACTGTCAGAAAAATAAATTAGATATGCAGAATAGTATTTAGAGAATGTTTACAGACTGAAACGTCTACTGGCATTGGGTAGACATGAAAAGCATCTTCTTCACAGCATAAAAGAAAGATTCAGTCATGGAACCATCATTAATGTAAAAAGTACAGTTGCTTAATAAAATAAATAAACTTTCTTCTCAAAATTAATTTTCATTATCTACTGGATCAGTGCTTAGGAAATTTCATACCCAGGTATAACTGACACTAAGTCATGAGATAGGCTGCGCCATAGCTCAAGCGGTTAGTCACTGGCTTCCCACTTAGGCGGCCTGGGTTCAATCCCAGGTCTGGTCAAGTGGGTTTTGTGGTGGGCAAACTGGTGCTGTGGCGGGTTTTCTCAAAGAACTTCGGTTTCCCCTGCCAATCTTCATTCCACCAACTGCTCCACAATCACCCTCACCTATCATCCGGGGCTGGTATAATAGGCCAGAAGTGGCTGCAGTACAAGGGACATAGTCCCACCCCATTAGCATTAAAAAAAAGTCATGAGATAGGGACTGCTTGCAGGCAAGTAACTTACCAGCAGGTCCGGATCATTTTCATCTCCTGACAGTTCTTCATCTGAAGGAATATCCCGCAAACTTTCTGCCACCATCGCATCTAAATTTACTGGAGCTGGACGAACTGCAAAGTAATACCTGTGCTACAAAAGTTTCTTGCAACATGAACGCAAAACCTTCCTTTACTCTCAAGCTGCAGGTTCACAGAAATGATCTCATCCTAATTCTTTATAAGCAATAAGCATTAAAAGTTCTTATTAAGATGGCTGATATGGTGCAGTTATGATCTAGGCCAAGGCAACAGCTATCTTGACTGAGCTACATTATGATTTTCCTGTTTCTCCATGCACTGCCAGAATAATACCTCCATTTGGCCACAATCACTTCCTTACATGTTATTAAAAAAAAAGGTAAAGCTCTGCCTGTCACAGGCCGTGGAGGCCCATAGGGTTTTGAGAAGTCGAGGTTCCCACATTTTCTAGACAAATGGCTCAAAGATGGCGGTAAGGTTGTCAGCCTTACATGTTGACCACCCTTTACTCCCAGGAAGATTCCTCGTACTCATTTCTTTTAGAAGCTCATTTGACCCCAGGGCCAAAGCGCAGCTGGAAGGATTAGGTAAATTGAAGAATCCAGTGACCTCATTGGAAATTGAACCCGCAACCTTCACCTTGCAGCAAAATGACCGCTTCCTTATAATCCTTTCCAATTCATCTTTCAACTGTCATCATACCTTTCAATGCTATGTGGTCTAGTTACTGAGAGCATCATAAAATAATTCACAAAAATGTACACTATATAACTATACTGTGTCTATATTAGCAGAAAGAAATATTTTCTTTTGCTAATCTTCAAGTCTGCTGCTGTCAGTAACCAACCTATACAGCACTGAATGGTAGGAGTAAAGAATAATAAATTTAAAATGATCTGGAATGACACAGTTATGACCCAATTAAAGTACTATACGGGCTTTTAGCTGAAGGGGCTAAGGAAGACCATGAAACACCTCAGTCAGGATAAGTTGCGTCCCAGCTGAGAGTCAATCCAAGCATCTGTCAAATATGAGCCTGGAGCATTACCGCTCTGTCAACTCATGTGGTTTCAAAATTTTGTCTTAAGTTTGTTCTATGGAGTGTTTTCTATAATAATCAATTACTTTTGTAATACTACACCTCGTTTTGGCCTGGAAGGAGATTTTCCTGCAGTCAAAGCCATTAATTCAGCTTCAAGATCTCCATCGTCATCATCGTCATTATCCATTTCTCTCATTACGCCAATATTTCCAAAATCATTTAGATTTGGTACATCAAGCAGTCCAAACTAAAATAACAAATTTACAAAATATGATTTTACTCAAGACTGTGAATGCTCACACTCACTACTCCTAAGACATAAACTTGAATGACATCAAAGAAATTTCACTTTTGAGGAACTATCTTGTAACACAGAATTGCGAAGTGTTCAACTTAATCCCATTTCAAAAACTACTGTGTTCTAGGATCTGATGCTATGCAACCTGGTGAGTTACAAACATTTAACAGGAACCTGGTGACTCCACTTCTCATGTCATCTACTCTGAATATTCGCTTGCTGCCTGCTTTATTCTGGTTTCTTGCTTGACTTACGCTTAAATCCTGATTATGGAGGTGACATGTTCCTTCGAAACACTGGCTCACTTATGAGGCGTTATAGACCAGAGAGACAGAACTCATTTAATTCCTCAGAACCTCAACCACATGGCCACAGTGTTTAAAATATTTTAAAACTAAACGTTTTTTCGCTAATATGGATAACTGTGCAGCCAGCCAAAAACTGGGGCATAAAAGTACGGCCACGAACCTCGTTAATAAAGAATTATTATAAAATGAACTTTACATACTCTTCTTGGTTTTAAAACAAGTTAATACCATTTTGCTCACCTGTGACAACCCGCCGCCAGGGTTAACACGGCGTTTTTCTTCTTTTCTACGACCAAACATTATTCATACTATATTCACTTATACAGTATTAATCATTATTCACAAAAGTTGTGCAACAAACCGTCAACATACAAACAACCATACTACAAATCTATGCTCTCTGTGATATTACCACCGATCGCCACCGATTACAACGGTATTACTCATTCAAACACGATTGCCAACGGAGCAACACAATATTACTTCAGGTAATCATTATTTCTAATCTGTCCCCAGATGTATTTATCAAATATAAGCATTCCTCCCTTTGCAAGTCATTATTCTTGTTACATCTGACAGATTTTCTTACTTCAGGGTCTTGGCACTGCATGTGTAAAGATGGTAAAATCAATGAAGACACGGTGAGGGCGATCAATTGCGATCCGAATGATTTGTAGAATTCTTGTCACAAATAATGCACCCCAAAATATGCACATTCTGTTTAAAAATATCGTGAGAAGTTTTTTAAACTCTGTCTATGAATATATTGTTGCCACGAACTGACGCAATGACTGATATGTGCGTAAAATTACAAAATAAAGTATATGTACACCTGTCCTGTCAAAACTTTGGGATAGCTGCTGGTGTTTCAACCGTAGTCTTATCATTCCACCAGTTACACTCATCTTCAAGGAGTAAGTAGTTGCTCACCTAGATATGGAATTACCCACTTTTATTATCTAATAGATGGAAATAAGTGATTTCAAAGATCGAGGAAAATTTGCAACAACCTAGAGCCGACACATTTATCAGTTTCCCGCCATAACTGCCGATGGCAGAATGAGTCATAAGAGACGATAAACGCGCGCCGGCGGATGGTCTGATTCTGCCACTGCAGTAATTCGCAGTATTGGCCGCACCATACCTCAAGCGGTTAGTCGCTGGCTTCCCACCGCGGCGGCCCGGGTTCGATCCCGGGTCTGGTCAAGTGGGATTTGTGGTGAACAAAGTCGCGCTGGGACGGGTTTTCTCCGAGTACTTCGCTTTCCCCTGCCAATCTTCATTCCACCAAATTCTCCATCATCATAATCACCTGGGGCAGGCTACAATAAGCCAATCAGTGGCCGCCGTGCTGAGTTGACTCAGTTGGACTCAACTCCCCACTAAGCGAATTAAAAAAAAAAGGTCGCATTATTAGCCAGTCTCTGTTAAGAGGTGTCGATAGGCGATCGACATTTATACTGAAATGAAGTTCACTACTGAACGGCATGTGTTTATTGTCAAAACATTTTCAAGGAAAAACTTACAGAAAGTCGTCTGTATTCAAGCTTGTGAAAAAGTAGCGGGCCACTGGTTAAGTGTGAAATAAAGAGGCAATCGAAGAGCATTCTGCTGACCGAAGAAAAGGTTCGGGATCGTTCGTGATACTTAGGCACAACTACAGGTCAGTCCTCGAAAACCTTTAAGACGCTTAGCACAGGAAACCTGTGTTTCGCTAGGATATGCTTTCACAGTCACAACATTAATCTAATTTCGCCAGTATAAAATAACAGTTGTGCATGAGCTGAAACAACCAGAATATGCAGCAAGAATTCGTTTTTGCAACTGGCTGCTGCAAAATGTGCATGATGGAATCAGATCTACAGACTGATGAGGAGTGGTTTCATGTTAGTGGTCATGTCAATGCACAAAAATGTAAGAATATGGAATGATGAAAATCCTCATGCTACATGCAAGTGCCATTACATAATGAGAAGGTGGGGGTGTGGTGTGCTGGAAGTCCGCAGAGAATCATTGGCCCCATATTTTTATACGAATCCGTGAACTCTTGACCGCTACGTTAATGATATACCGAATCTGTTCTTCAATCCGCTGACTGCTGAAGGGAGACAATATGGGTTTGATTTGTTTCAACCTGGTAAGTCACACTAACAATAATTTAAAAGGTTAATTAATTCTGTCCAGTGTGACTGATGGAATTCTTTTCTCCTTTTTAATATTTCATCCTTAACATGTTTCGGTCTTATAGAGTCTAAAGGGTTAAATCTGAATCTCCAGCTTGACATAAACCATAAAATTTAAGTGTATTTTAGTGCTTCACTGTGGTTTCTTCATAAATTTCAAAAGTACTAATCATCCTTGGAATTTGGAATGAGGAGCTGATTCACATGTATTTTTCTGCTTCTTTCACCATAACAACATACACTACTCTGTGTCAGTTAATTATAGTATGTAAATGTATGATAAACTTATTTGCTTCATCGAATTCAGTAATTATATTCACCGAATTAATATTTGTCCTTTGAACAAATCACTCAACAGAATTTAGTGAAGTTAAATGGAAACTTAGAACTCTTATATGTGTAATACAGAATGTGGAGCTCACAGAGATCACATCTGTACAGTACAAATGGTCGGCAAGAAGTGAGAAACTTGGAGACAGCTTACACTCTGACCCAGAAATTATTAATTTCAAGTTCTTGGTGCGGACTGATACATGCCATTCCATTTCTAATTGGGAAGTCTGAATGAACCAAACATGTCATAAAGATCCTTGCATAGTACTCATATGCAGGCATATCAATGAGTTTTTCACTGAGTTTTGTACGCTTTTAAATTTTTTGTATGTCGACCACATGTCAGAACCGCAAACTTCTTGGCATTGCCAGAATTCAGAAATGTCCATACTAAAACATCATTATTACATGTCAAAGATAACAGAATACAATATTACAGATTCACACTAAAGTTTAGTTAATATCAAAATTCATTCATTCATCAGTAATCTGTCAAGACGACAGGTCCACAGTCTCTTCCAAAACAGTTCCTCCACTTGATGCGATCGAGAGCTTTCTCCTTAAAATGAAAATATCCTCTTCTGTCCTCAAGGTCATCCAGCATCTTCTTCGTCTTCTGGTCGCTTCTATCCGCCACTCTATCTTTCTTTCAATAACTTCTTTTAGAAGGCAGTTACCACATAAGACATGACCAATATACAGGGTGTCCCAGGAGGAATGGACCAAACTTCGGGAGGGTGTTCCTTATGTTAAAGTATGCCGATATAACCCAAAACACCTATGTCCAAAGTTGAACGGTTACGGAGATAATGGCCAGAGAAGTGTGAAACTTTGACCGGCGTTGCACACTTGTTGATTACAAAATACATATTAAAAATGGCAGGAATATGTGGATTCTGTAATGTTAATAATGAACATTAACATAAAACTAACTTGTGAGTGACATGAAGCCATAAAATTGAAGTACAAAATACTCGCTCGCCATGTCATAATTGTCCTTAGGGTTTCCAAGCACTATATATGACACATGAATGGCAAGCGCTGACGTAACTTGGGTGACGGCGCGTTCTGATAAAGCCAACTACGTAAATATGGCTAGGGTGAATCACGGCACTCAAGGACAAACATAGATAAGGCCTCTCAGCTGATAGGTATAGTCCGTAGACCCGCTAGAAGACCACGCTTTTCTCGGGCCATTATCTCCGTAACCGTTCAACTTTGGAAATAGGTGTTTTGGGTTATATCGGCATACTTTAACATAAGGAACTCCCTCCCGAAGTTTGGTCCATTCCTCCTGGGACACCCTGTATATAATATATTGTTTGTACTTGGGACAGAGTTTATATCATGTGACATGGCTGGCAAACAACAAAATGTTGCACACCATTAAAATAAAAGACTCCATTCCATGCAGTGTTTTCATACAATATTTTGGCAGCTGTTGTCACTTTGTTGGTGGAGATCAATTGATACTACCAACAATACTCTCATCACGTTAGCAATAGACCTCATCCAGCACTTGATATCATTGAATATGAGATATTTCTTTTTATATCAACTGTTATTCAGATGTGACATGACACACAGCCATCTGAAAGAAAACTGATTGAATACCAAACAACTCTTTCCACCCTTTTATGGCAAAATAGTGACATGACAGATTCCTCCACATTCTTAGACATGTCCACTTTTCAAGCAATGACATGCTTTTGATGATGCTGACCTAAAGTCTTTAGACTTTAGAAACTAAAACATATTCTTGATTTCCTGAAAGATGAATACTGAAAATATCACACCCTTTTCAAGAGGAGGATAATTTTAAAGAGCTTCCATATCCAGGGAACAAATGTTGCCCACTGAAACTTAAATTATGTGCCATATCCGGATGCATATATAGTACTGATGTTTACGTAGGGAAGGACAGAACACATGCAACTTGAAAACAACTGCCAGAAACTGTAGATGGATGTGAATGACATATGGGCAAGTTAGGTTTGTCACATGAATTATTCTCAGATCTGGGGGGCATAACTGCTGTGGGACAGTCAGACCTAACAGATAGGAATGTCACAGAGCTCTGTTTTCTTTCTGTGTCTTGTTGGTTTCTCACTTGACCCACTGTTCAACCTGTAGATGGAAGCAGTACACTCCTCCAAAACATCGGTGGACTTCTACCAGACTGCACAGTGTTACATAACATAAGACAGTAGTCCTCATAGGACCTGCTTGCCATCTGCTTCTTCCTGGCTTCATGTTTGACTTACTGTCATATCGATCAGCTCTGCTGCATGGAAACATCTGAGTTGTGAGGCAACGTTGAAAACAGCCAAGTGGAAACGTTACACTTCCTTCTAATCTGGTCCAAACCTTGGCTGTCTATATCAATATTCTGGAGCTGGATAAGCACTGTTAAAGTATGAAAGTTCATGACAACACTTCGGCCAAGTAATATAATGATTTCTTAATACATCAGCGTGATACAGAATAATTATGAGGGGCAGACCAGAGTACCACTAGTTAAGATTTTTAAGTCACACTCTCATAGGCAGAATAATAGAGGCACGGCCCATGAAAAAGTTCATGAAATCTTAGAGGGCTTATAAGCACACTGTAATGGGATGTGATTGATGTCACACCTATCCTCACACCGTCTTACCCTCATAATGTACTATTACGATTAAATGTATATTTGGCCCATCAACATGTGTGGGAGGTTGAGGAGGTACAAGGGTGAAGGGAATTGTCCACTGTCATGAGTGGTGGGTCAAACCCACATCCATTCAATTTAGACATGGAAACTTCAAAACAATCTGTGGATATTATGTTGACCTCCCAGCTCCAGTGTGTCTGGCCATGGTTAGCAATACATGGTCTGTGATCCTCTGGACACTACACTACTCTTCAAC